AACTGGAGCCACTTGGCCATGTAGTGGGTGACAGGGAAATGGTAGAGGCAGGGAAGTTCCATCCCCAGGTGATGAGCATGTCTGAATTACTAGAGGTAGGGGTGAGGACTTGGATGATAGGTTACTGGACTTGTCAGTCCAGTGCCTTGAACTCAGTGAGACTCTCACGTTTCCTGTGACCCCGCCCACACACACACCCTATTTAAGACCAGACCCGTGCAGGTGCCATTACACCATGCTTCATGTTTCTGGTTCCTTGAATCGCCATGGTGTCCCACTTCAGCTCCCCACTGAAGTGGATCAACTCCAACTCCAGTTGGGAGCTGATCCAGTTTGTTGGAATTGTTTTTCTGCTCTTTTTCTCCTCTCTTCCTCTCAGGGCTCAGTTTTCTAACAATGTTAAGTGTATTCAAGGTGGCTGCAGGTCTTTGTGACAAGAGTCCACCTGAAGTTGCCCACTTTCCAATAAAGACTCCCAATTTGATCTCTCAAAATATGGCTTCTCTGTTTTCTAAATTCTCTGTGACTAAATTCCCACACAACACAATCACACAGCTGGGAGAGAAGATGGCTGATAACTTAGAACAATGAAGGAGGGGAATTTTAGAATACACATGATTCCAGAAGCAGACAATATGAAATGCTGGAGAGAGCAGACAGAGCCTTCTCACCCTGAAAAAGAATCCCTAGGCTAAAGCCAAGTCTCCTGTTTGTGGTTCCTCTCTTCAAGTCTTCCCCACCATCCCTAATAAGATGAATTTTTCTACTTCAACTGTTATAATGAAGAAAAATTCTTCCAATTAAAATATACTGGGTCTCAGCTTTATAAGGGAGAAGATGTGGAAGCAACCAAAGTATTTAAGAATATTGAACAGTTTCAATAATAGACCAATGGCAATTTCATATGTTCAATGAATCTTATTGGCTTAAGGTAATATTCATAATAAACTATTAATTATCATAGGAACCTATACATTTATATCTGCAATGCAAATTCCAGGATTAAACATTTGTGTGTATTTATTTTAAAATAACTAAAATCATTGAGCCTTTACCACAATTCAGCACTATACTATGTTTTACATGAATTGTCTCACTCATTACTCGTAGAAACGAGATTAAACTGTTTCCAGTGGCTCATCCCTGTAATCCTAGCTACTCAGGAGACTGAGATCTGAGGATCACAGCTTGAAGCCATCCTGGGCAGGAAAGGCCATAAAACTCTTATCTCCAGTTAAGTACCACAAAGGCCAGAAGTGTAGCTGTGGCTCAAGTGGTAGAGTACTAGCCTTGGCCAAAAAGCTCAGAGACAGTGGCCATGTCTGAGTTCAAGCCCCAGGACAGCCACCAAAAAAAAATTTTTTTAAAGCACACACACACACACACATACACACATACACACACACACAGAAAAACCACCTAAGATTTGTATAATTATTACCTATAAAATGTGTACATGAGAGAAAAAGGAAGAGAAAAAGAGACATAGAGTAAATAAAACGGAAAAAAAAAAAAAGCCAGGCAGTGTGGCTCATGTCTATAATTCTACCTACTCTCAATCCAACCAGGCCAAAAAAAATTAGTTCAAGAGACTCAACTTCAATCAATAAGATGCTGAACATGGCGATGCACCTCTTATCTCATATAATGTATAAATGGGAGATCAGTCCAGGCTGCCCAAGACTGTACTCGAAAAACAAAAAGCATCAAGGACCAAGGATGTGGCTCAAATGGTAGAATGTGTGCCTAACATGTTAAGTCCCTGAGTTTAAACCCTAGTACCATGAGAGGGGGGGGGGGGGGAGGAAGGAAGGAAGAAGAAAGAAAGAAAGAAAGAAAGAAAGAAAGAAAGAAAGAAAGAAAGAAAGAAAGAAAGAAAGAAAGAAAGAAAGAAACCAAAAAAGTCAAAGCAATTATCACTGAATAGGATTATGTGAGGTATTAGTTTTCTTTTTAAGATATTTTTCTTCATTTTTAAAATTTTCTAGAATGGGCACATGTTGACTTCATTCTTAGGAAACTTTAAGAGAAGTAACCCTTTTTAAGTTTATTGGCATTCATATCTTTTTTAAACCAATGAAAGCCTTTTCAAAAGCCAGTAGCCCCTCACACCCAAGGGAGAACTGATTTAATGAGAGTTTAACAACTGATAGATAAGAAAGAGCCTGTACTAAAGCTGGAGAAGGTGGACAGAATTCAGGAAAAGTACTTTCAGATATGGATCGAACCTTAAGCTTCAGTAAAGAGAGATCAAGGAAAGAGGAAAATAGAATGTGAGAGAAAAGAGAAAGTGCCTAAAGCAAATGTCTTGTTTTAGAACGCTACTCAGGGTTCACCCTAACTCTGAGAGAAAAAGCAAGCTCTTCCTCTGACTCTCCAAACTGCACTCAGCCCCACATACCTGCACTACGTGGGCATGAATCCTGTCCCACTAGCCAAGATTCACCTACTTGAGAGAAAAGAATAAAAGAACAGATCAGGGATTGAGCCAAATCTTAGCTCCTCAGCTTGCTAGTATAATAGTGGTTACCTATGCTCGCCTGTTCACTGGAGATGAATTTACTCTCTTCACTGGATATTGTGAAATGGATATGTGTGTGTGTGTGGTAATTTCCCCATATATACATAAATACATATTGTGAGCCCATCTGAGAGTCTAATAGTTTATTTTTCTATGGAAATTTTGTTTCAAGGTTTTACAAAACAAAATCATTGTCATCTCTAAACACAACCATAAACTAGGGTTGATCTGCCTTTTTTTGTGTGTGGTCCTGAGGCTTGAACTCAGGGCCTGGGCACCCAAGTCCCTGAGCCTCTTTGTGCTCAAAGCTAGCACTCTACCACTTGAGCCACAGGGCCACTTGAGTTTTTTTCTGAGTAATTTATTGGAGATAGGAGTCTCACAGACTTTACTACCCAGGCTGGCCTCTAACTGTAATCCTTGGATCTCAGTTTCCTGAGTAGTTAGGTTTACAGGCATTAATCTGCTTTTGTGTATGGGTTGCAACTGAGGAAGACACACCTTTATTTCAGAACAAAGGAAATGGATTGCAAAATCCATGTTTTCTTTGCCTTGCCTCTGGACTGGCAGACTTATGTACCAGAAGCACATCTTATACTCACAAGATTAAAATTCTGGAGTCATAAAATGAAGGAAGGCATCTATTTTAGTGTGTACTGATTCATCTCCCAGCCTGCCAGGTATAGCTGTCTGCCTGGATGAGTTTTATGAAGGTCTATAGAAGGGGGTGGGGTGGGAGAGCAATCAGGAAATGTGATGGCTGTTGTCACTGACTTAGGCCATTTGCTTCATTTTCAGATGCTATTCAAAGGTATTCAGCTTCCCAATAGAACAGTGATTAGAGCCTCCTTAAAACCTCCTTAAGAACATTCCTCAGAAATTAAATTCTCATTGTTTTAAAGCTGGGTTCCAAAGCTGGCTTGACCTATAATCCTAGCTACTCAGGAAGCTGAGATCTGAGGACTGCAATTCAAAGCCAGCCTAGGCAGGAAAGGCTTTGAGACACTTTATCGTCTATTAACCAGTAAAAAGTCAAAAGTAGAGCTGTGGCTCAAGTGATGGAGCATCATCTTTGAATGAAAGAGATAAGGGACAGTGCCCAAGTCCAGAGTTCATGCCCAGGTTGTAGGTAGGGGGGAAGACAGACAAACAGAGACAGAGACAGACAGAGTGACAGAGACAGAGAATCACAAGACTTTCCTCACTCAGAGATACCATCTCTTTACAAAACATGCTTGCCAAGAATCCCTTCAGAGAGCCTTAATGGAGCAATTTCCATTTCACTTATTCCCATTCATTTAGATGTATCTTAAAGACACATTCATTCATGTGGCTGTCACATTCTGTGATTTTAATAACCCCTTCCTAATGTCTAACCAGGAAGATATTTCAAGAGAGAGGATCTGGCCTGTAATCCAATCTTCTTCTTAGCCACCATCCCACTGAACCTATGGGAATTGTTTTCTACCAGGAAATGACTTGGATTTGGTTTCCCTCTCCTCCACTAATCAGCTTCCCCTATAGGAATGGTTGGGAGGGGGAGGGTGGGAGGCAAGGAGGAAAGAGATGTCATCTTGGACCCAGAAGAAGAAGCTGGTTAAGCCAGATCCTCAGAACTTCAGTGGGATATTCATTTCATACGCATGTCGCTGAGTGGGTGTGCCCATTCAGCCATGAGCCCTGCACAAGTGTTTCAGTAAACTGGATGTGCTGACAGCTTTCAAAAGACCTGCTCAGAAACTTATATATCCCTGGACTTTGCTCCTTGTCTTAGTTGTGGTCGTGTGTGTGTGTGTGTGTGTGTGTGTGTGTGTGTGTGTGTGTGTGCGCGCGCGCGCTCTTAGCAACTTCATGATTTCAAAACTGTTGCACAAAAAAAGAAAGTCATTGTGAATCTATTTACTTCACCGAGCATTTGCAAATCTTTTTTTTTTTTTAATCCTAAATTCCTCCTGGGAAAGTTCCACTGTAAATGCATCTCTGAAGATGCATTCTGCCTTTTTAACGAGGGATTTCCTTTTTCTTTCTTTTTTTTTCAAATTAAAGCGGGACTCCAGTGAAGGTTCCAAGTCCCGAGCTACTTCGCTTCGGGGGTAAAAAAATATCCAGAAACCACCCACGTCGGTCCTGAGATGGCCGGGAAACCTCAAGCCCAGAGAGCATCCTCGGATGCTACCGGCACCCCCCACACACAGGGCGCGCCCCGCACGCACGCGGGCTCCCCGGGAGCGCGCGGACTGCCAGCGCAGCGGGGCCACCGCCCACCACCCGGACGGAGCCTGGTGACATCACCCGGCCCCCAGGACTCGGCCGAGCAGCCGGAGGCCAGCGAGGCATCCAGGCGACAAAGCAAAGCCCAGATCCCCGGGGCGCCCGGGCCGGGGATGGCAGCCGGGTCCCTAGGGGCTGAGCACAGCCCGGGGTCCCCGCACCCACCCAGAGCCGCTCAGGTACCGCGCGCACAGAAGCAGCCCCTCACCTTCGCCTCCATCCAGGAGTCCCGATCCTGACTCTGGGCTGCCGGGGCCGGGGCGGCTGCCAGGAGCAGCCGCAGCAGCAGCAGCAGCAGGTGGACGGTGCCCACGACGCGCCGGTCCCCGCCGCCTGCCATCTCCGCCAGGTCCTGTGGGCGCCGGTTCCCGGGGCCGGCGGCGGTCACGAGCCCGGGAACGCGCGCCTGTCGCCGGCTCCCTTCTCCACCCTTGGGTGGACTGCGCCCGCCTCCCCCTCGCCGCCAGCGGCCGACGGGGCACAGGCCGCAGCCGCCACCCCCTCCCCTCCTCTCACACGTCTCAGCAGCCCCGGAAGGTGGGACTGTGCTGCCCAGGGTGACTCAAGCTTCCCAGACAACAAAGACGGCCACTTCCTTGTCTTGGAGAGGAAGGAAGGAAGGAAGGAAGGAAGGAAGGAAGGAAGGAAGGAAGGAAGGAAGGAAGGAAAGAAGGAAGGAAGAAGGAAGGAAGGAAGGAAGGAAGGAAGGAAGGAAGGAAGGAAAGAAGGAGGAAGGAAGGAAGGAAGGAAGGAAGATCATTTTCACAATGATCTCCAGGGCCATGACAGGGAGTTGGAAACGGGATGGGGAGGTTCATCAGACTCCAGGGTAGGGAGGGTGGGGGTGGGGTGGTTATGCAGTGTTTTCCCAAAGTGATTTAAGAAAAGATGGTCCCAGAGTCAATTTTGCTGAAATACTCTCCACCAAGCTCTGCCCTAGTGATGCCCCCCCTTGTTTAATCTACTAATCCCATTTGCCAGATGAGGAAACAGCTCCCCTGGAGAAAGCCTGAACTACGCAGCCCACTGTTTCCTCTGTTCACAGTGCATGCTTACATTTTTTTCCTCTTTTCTCACAACTAGTTGATCTTCGTTTCTAAGAGACTCTCAGATTGAGAAATTTGGTTGAAGTAGTTAATCTGAAATAAATGAGATCTAAAATATCGCAGTGATTCTCTAATGCATGCCTCCAAAAGGAAAAGCAAAAACAAACATCCAGTTGGTCCTTTATGTCCATGGATTCTGTATCTCTGGAATTCAACCAACCACACTTGGAAAATATTCAGAGTAAAAAATGGGGTATGGTGGCTCACCCTTGTCATCCTACTACTAGTGGAGGTGGCTAAATTAAGAGAATCAAAGTCCAAGCAGGCCAGGCAAAAGGAAAGTCCTTCTGTTAAAAAAAAAAAAAAGGCAGGAGTGCTGCTCAGAAGGGCTGCATAGCTCATGTGAAACCCTGAGTTCAAAACCCCAGTACCACCAAAGAAAGAAAAAAGCTGAATCTGTACTGAACATACACAGACTTTTTGTCAAAAATCCTTCAACAATAGTGTGTAACAACTACTTGCACAGTATTTGTATCACATTAGATATTATATTTCATAGATTATTTAAAGTGTATGGGAGGATGTATATAAGTCATTTGGAGATGTTACATCATTGTATGCTAAGTTGGGCATCCATGAGTTTTGGTATGGAGAAGATGACGTGGAACCAATCCTCTACAAATACTGAGTGTACTTGTTACAACAGTTAGTGTTATACAGATATCCTATTTTTAAAAAACAGAGCTGTGGATGTTGTTCCACTAGTGATAGAGCATTTGCCTAGCATCTGCAAGGCCTGGGGCTCAAGTCTAGAACCACAAAAATAGAAAAACAATTTATCTGTAGGTGTCTGACCTAACAAATACTTCATCTTCTTTTACGTTCCTTGATCCGTCTTGAGTCATCTCCTAGTAACAGAGTTCCCAGGAAAGTCACAACAAGGACAGTGAAACAGAACCATTTCCTAAGGATCAAATTTGAAGGTAATGGATAGAATCTGCCAGAAAGCCTACCCACTCTTGCCTTCCTAGCTACAAGCCTAGCAACTTATTAAGAGTCAGGGCTGGCCTAGGGACTCACTGTTCTGCCCCCCTCTGGAGCCACAAGGAAAGACAAGGTGGAAGTTTCTCTTGTGCTTCTGTTTAAAATTGCTAGCTCTCCCATCTGACAGTTTTTGAATAACAACTTAACTATCCAGGGTTAAATGTTAAATAGCTTCTTTTATTACTCCAGATACTATTCTGATAATCTGGCCAGTTCAAAAGTTTCTATTGATTCAATAGAAAGAAAAAAGAACAGCTCTCACGTGTCTCTATGTATCTCTTTTCTTCCTGCTGAGCCAGCCTTGAAATGCTGAGGCTCCTGGGTGGCTAAGTAATAAAGAATGTTTTCTTACCCTGTTATCTCCTGTAAGAAAAGAGAGGTGAAAAAAAAAACTAAATAGGTGAGCTATATTATCATGTTAAGTATGAGCAATTTAAAATAACAAATATAGGAATGCGTAAGGTAACATGCTAACACATAATTTGATGATGATTTTCATCCCCTAAAGGTCTCCATTTTCAGTTATATTTCAGTCAGAAAAATGCTGTTGCAGTTTGACATGGACAGGAAGCAGACTCAGACAGTTTAGCAAGCAGGATGTGTATTAGGGAGTGCCCTTGGGACTAGGCCCTGTGGGAAGAAGAAACTGGACCTGGCTGAGGGAGAAGTTAGCTGAGAAGTGGGATCCACAGCCTCACAAAGCCCCGTAGGGAGCCTTGGAGCTGAAATAGCTGTCATAATTATCCTATGATTGTCCAGAATGACTGGGCCTTTATCCCTTCTCCCCTTCGCTCCCTCCCCCCACCTTCATGCAAGGACTTCCTACAAATGGCCTGTACTCCAACAGTTCTTGCCTGAAGGGAGATCTGACCAGCACATCTGTCTGTACCTATCATACAGGACAGATCTCATTCCAACCCAAAACACCTCACATAGTGAAGCTTATTTAAATCCATTTTTTATTTTTTAATTCCATATGGGATTTTGTAACAACTTCTATAAATCTACAAGTCTAGGACAATACAAGTATCCTTATCTTCCTTATTCACATTTTTCTGATCCATTAAATATCCATCTTCTACTTTCTTTCCCTCAAGTCTTCCTATGGAAGATTACTAATAACTTTCGCATTTTAATTCAAGTTCCAGATGCTAATTTTAATCATAGAGCAAGGAGGCAGTTGTATATGCAATAATAATATGGATCACAAAAGTATGGGTATGACACTCATGACACTTCAGTATAGTATGAATTCAATACAGTAATATAAAAGGCATGATGGACCAACCTACCAAAAAAAAAGTCATTCCCCATCAAGCTCCCATGACTTGAAGCACACTTCCATCTTGAAAATGACATTGTAACTCTAAAGCAAGAATGACCCAAAGGTGCTATTAAACAAGCAGTTCTCAAAGTGTGGGCTGTGGAACCCCTGGGGATTTCCTGACGCCCTTGAGGATGTCTCCAAAATCAAATTAATTTTTATAATAAATCAAAACAAGCCAAGTGCCATTGGCTCATGCTTGTAATCCTAGCTCCTCATGAAACTGAGGTTTAAAGCCAGTCTGGGCAGAAAAACAGAAAAGACTCCATCTCCAAAATAGTCAACAAAAAGCTAGCTCTAAGCTGAAGGAGTATCAAGGCCCTGAGTTCAAATTCCAGTATCACCAAAACAAACCCAAAATCAAAGTAAGCTGGGCCTTGGTGGCTCCTGCCTGTAATCCTAGCTACTCAGGAGGCTAAGATCTAAGGATCATGGTTCAAAGCCAGACCAGGCAGGAAAGTCCAATTAACCACCAAAAAACTGGAAGTGGCACTGTGACTCAAAATGGTGGAGTGCTAGTCTTGAGCAAAAAAGCCCAAGGACAGTGCCCAGGTCCTGAGTTCAAGACCCATGAGCAATACCTCCCCCCCAAAATAATACATTATATATATATATATATATATATATATATATATATATATGTCTTGTTTTCTGGCCATATTGACATTTCACTAATGCTGCAGAAACAATGAGGGATAACAACACTCTGGTTTTGTTTGTTGTTGTTGTTGTTGTTTTGTATATGTGTGTAAGAGAGAAAGAGAAAGAGAGAGTCAGGGACACTTGTGGCTATGTATTCTTCATGCGCTGAAGAAAAAGATAGAAAATAAAAACAGCCAGTTCCACTTAAGAATTAGTTGATACAGGGCTGGGATGTAGCTCAGTGGCAAAGCGCTTGCCTAGCAAGTGCGACGTCCTGGGTTCGATCCCCAGTACCAAAAAAGAAAAGACAAAAAAAAATACAGTTAAAAAAAAAAAAAGAATTAGTTGATACAGTAATAAAAATATTTTTATTAATTTCAGCCCCTGAGGCAGATATTTTTAATAGCTTCATTGAGCTATAATCCAAATACATTAAATGATGCATATTTAAGCACATGACACAATGAATTTAAACACACATAAATACTTATGAAGCCACAATCAAAAAAAAATGAATATATTTGCAACCTCCAAAGTTTTTTTCCTTTGTAAGCTTTCCTTCTAGCTTCCAGTTTTCTTTTAGTTTCTTCTTTTACCCATTCATTATTTATATTATATTATTTATTTTTCAGACAATTGAGGATTTCCCTAACTTTTTGTTACTGGTTTCAAATTTAATTCTGTAATGGTCAGGGCTTGCAAAGATGAGCCTTTATCCATTTTTTTGAGAATTGTCTTATTCTCAAAATATAATTCATCTTAGTATATGTTCCCTGTGCATGTAGAAAGCAAGTATATTCTATTGTTATTAGGTGAAGTGCTCTGTGTCAAATAGGTCAAGGTGGCAGATAGTGTTGTCTGCATCTTCCATTTAAAAAAATTGATCTTCTGACTATTCATTCTATTGATTACAAAGGTGGTATTGGAATCTCTAATTATAATCATAAAAAACTTTCATTTCAATCAATTTTCATATTATCTCTAAGCTTTCTTAATAAGTGTATAAATGTTTAAGACTGCAATTTAAAAAAGAATTAACCCAACTTAAGAGATCAGAGCATATGTGCTTTGAAAAATCATTGATCCCTTTGCAATTATAAAACAGTTCTTTTTGTACTTGGTTGTATTCTTGTTTTGAAGCATAATTTCCTCTAACATTTTGACTTTCTCTCACACTAATGTAATTAATTAAAACTCCAACTTTTTTGTTGTTGGTACTAGACTTTGAACTCAGGGACTTGTGCTGACGAGGCAGGCACTTGCTAGGCAAGTGCTCTACCACTTGAGCCACACTGACAGCACTTTTTTGTACTTGTTAATTTCAAAATAGAGTCTTGTTTTATGTCTGAGCCAGCCTGGACTGCTATTCTCCTTTTGGTGCTTCCCTGAGTCACCAAGATGACAGCAGCATGCCATGGTACCCAGCCATTAGTCAAGATGTATCTCAAGAACTGCTTTTATCTAGACTAAATCAATCCCCTTTCTCTGCCTCCCAATAACTAGGACTACATACTTGAGCTGTTGTGACCAGCTTCTTTAAATATTTACTCTCCTCATTGTCCCTCCCTTCATACATGTATTCTTTTGAGGACTCCAAATGTGTGCATATTAAGGTGTTTGCAGTTTTCCTGAAGAGCACTGGTCTCTGTTTACTTTTTATTTTTTTATTTGTCTCTTTCATTTATATGTTATTTCTAGGTCTTTAAGTTTACCTTTTTTTGCAGAACCTAACCTTTTTTAATTTTTAAATTCTTTCTTTCTTTCTTTGTCGTAAAGGTGATGTACAGAGGGGTTACAGTTACATAAGTAAGGAAATGAGCAGAACCTAATCTTTTATTAGCCACAATTCTTTCCCTCACAGGTATGGTTTTACATGTTTTATTTAGATCTTATTTATATAGTTTGTTTTTCCCTGCATATCTATGTTTCCAACAACTGTTTTTCCTTGTCTTCTCATTTATCATCTTTGCCATTTCTTTGTCTTTTTCTTTTTTAAATTATTTTTTGCTATTAGAAAGGTGATACATAGAGGGATTACAGTTACATAAGTCAGATAATGAGTACATTTCCCTTTGTCGCCCCTTCCTTTGCTCTCTCAGTTTTTCCTTCCCATTCCCACCCACAAGTTGTATAGTTCACTTTAGTGTGCAGAGTACCGTTGCTGCATTGTTCACCCTTTGTCCTTCCACTTCTCCACTTCCCCTTACACTCCCAAAGACATAAACAAACAAACCAAAACATAAAGGAAAAAAACAGCAAAAAAGACAAAAAAGAAAACCTTCTGTTTTCATTTCCTAGAGTTCATGTCACTAATTTTTTCAAATTAACAAACTGTAATTGTTTTCCCAATGACACATTTTTATTAACACATCCATCTTACGCTGTAACCAACAGTAGCAGTATACATGAAATCAGAGAAAATAAATTAAAAATCCATAGCATGGGTAAGGAGGCTGTAGTTCCGAGCACAGTTGAGTTCCCAGCAATATAAGGAGGCTCCAGTGTTTCTTTGTAAGAATACCTGCCAGCAAGGTTCAAGTAAGGTGGTTGGTTGGTCTATAGTCAGTCTTGAAACCGTTCTGTTTTGTTTAGAATAGTCATCATTGTCCTGCAATAGGCAGAGCTATCATGTCGGAGAAAAATGAGGGGGGAAAACCACAGAGACATCATGAGCTTCAAATACAGCATTCAAAGGTAATTGGCGTAGTGGTGCCTGGGGAAGGAGAGAAGGGGTAACGCTCCAGGATTCGACGTCTTCCTTTGAGGGTGGGGATGTACCAGCCTTTATTTTTTTCCATGGATCTCTACCAAGGAGTTGTAGGACTGCTGTGCTCTTGTCAGGCTATATTGAGATTTGTTGGCTCGAAACTGCACCTGTGCTTTCCCCTTCACCAGTGTGGTGCTGATCATCATGATCAGATGCACATAGACATTGCGCCTTTCTGTTCCTCTCCTAAGAGTATCCTCCTTCGGTCTCACTTATGTGTGAATCCCGAAAGACCTGTATAATTTGTTCTGTGCCAATATTTTAGATCCAGTTTCCACAGGAGCAAAAACAGGTGCTGTTTGTCTCCCTGAGCTTGGCTTACCTCACTGAATAAGACCTGTTCTAGGTCCATCCATTTCCCTGCATATGACATAATAATATTCTTTCTAATGGCTGTGTAAAATTCCATTGTATATAGGTACCACGTTTTTTGGATCCATTCATCTATTTTAGGGCATCTGGGCTGTTTCCATATCTTGGCTATTGTGAATAGTGCAGCAATGAACATGGATGTGCAGGTGTCTTCATGGTTTCCTGGCTTGTGATGTTCTGGGTACATGCTCAGGAGCGGTGGTGGGGTCATATAGAGGATCTATGATTAGTTAGTTTTTTGTTTGTTTGGTTTTTTTGGTTGTGGGGCCTGAACTCTCGGCCTGTGCACTGTCCCTCAGCTCTTCAGCTCAAGGCTAGCGCTCTTCCACTTGAGCCACAGCACCACTTCTGGCTTTTTCTGCTTATGTGGGGCTAAGGAATTGAACCCAGGGCCTCATGCATGCAAGGCAAGCACTCTACCACTGAGCCACCTTCCCAGCCCCTTCATGTTTTTGAGGAACCTCCAGACTGCTGACCAGAGTGGTAGTAATAGTTTACATGTCAACCAAAAGTGCAATAGGATTCTTTCTCTACTACATCCCCTGCTGTTCAAATTCACAATGTTGGCCAATCTAACTGAGGTGAAGTGGAATCTAAGAATTGCTTAGACTCGCATTTCTTTCATGGCCAAGGATGATGAACATTTCCTTATGTGTGTCTTTGCCATTCTTACCTCTTCCTCTGAGAAGTCTCTCCTTAGCTCTTTTGTCCAGTTAGTAATTGGTTTATTAGTTTGGGGAATGGTTGTCTTCTTGAGCTCTCTGTGTATCTTGGACATTATTCCTTTGTCTGATGTATTGTTGGTAAAGATCTCCCAGTCTGTTGGCTGTTCTCTAATTTAGTAACTATGTCCTTTGGTGTACAGAAACTTTTTAATTTAGTGTAATTCCATCTCTCTCTCTCTGCTGTGCCCTGGGACCCTTTTCAAAAAGTTTCTGCCTTTGCCTATGAATTCTAATGTTGCTTCCTCTTAGATTAATTTCAGAGTTTCAGATCTGACTTTGATCTACTTTGAGTTGATATGTGTTCATGGTGAAAAACAGGAATCCACTTTTAGCTTTCTGCATATGGATGCCCAGTTTTCCTAACACCAATTATTGTGCGTCTTTGGCTCCCTTATCAAATATCAGATAACTGGTTTTAAGTATCAGATAAATGGTTTTATTTCTGGGTCTTCTAGTCTGTTACATTGACTTTCAGGTCTATTTTTGTGCCAATACCTGTTTCTGTTATTGTAGCTCGATAGTAGGGTTTGAGGTTGGGGATTATGATACTACCTGCATTTCTTTCTTTTTTTTTGTCTAGAATTGTTTTGGCTATTTGAGGTCTTTTGTTGTTCCATATGAATTTTTGGCTTTTCAGGATTTTTATGGTGATTGCATTGAATTTGTAGATCATTTTTGTCACTATGGCCATTTTTACAATATTAATTCTGCCTATCTGTGAACGGTCTTCCCATTTCCTGATGTCATTCTTGGGGTTTTTTTAAGTGTTTTTTCACCTTTGGGGCTTGAACTCTGGGCCTGGCACTGTCTCTTAGCTCTTCATGCTAGCATTCTACCACTTGAGCCATAGTGCCATTTCCGGATTTCTGGTGGTTAATTGGAGATAAGAGTCTCACGGGGAGGGGGGGGGGGGGCGGGTGTTAGCCCAGTGGAAGGGCGCCTGACCGGCGAGCGCAAGGCCCTGGGTTCGATCTTCAGCCCTGGAAAAAAAAAAATGCTACAAAAGAATCTCACGGATGTTCTTGCCCCAGCTGGCTTTGAACCGTGATCCTCAGATCTCAGCCTCCTGAGTAGCTAGGATTATAGTGGTGCCTGGCTTGTTCAAATTTGTATAGTTTTTGCTGTAAAAGTATTTTGCTTCTTTAGTTAGGTTTATTCCTAGATATTTTTTTAGGCTATTGCAAATGTAATTGTTTTCCAGATTTCCCTCTCTGCTTGTGTGTTGTTGGTATAGAAAGGCTACTGATTTTTGTGGGTTAATTTTGTATCCTGCTACTTTGCCAGAGTTATCAAGAAGCTCTAAGGAGATTAGAGATGGAGTCTTTGGGGGTCTATATCTTTTTCTCTACTGATTGTTTTTCTCCTCTTTGGGATTTACATTCCTGTTTCTTTGCATATCGGGTAGCTTTTTAATACATATCACACACTGTGAATGAGTGCTGGGGAATTTTTTGTGTGTTCCTCTAGTATCCTTAATTTTCAAATAGGACAGAGTTGATTGAGCTAGAAACAGTTTTATCCTTGGGAAATTGGCTTTTAATTTCTGCTAGGCTATGGCAGAACTGCCTGTAATCCAGAACTAAACTGATCCACTACTGAGAGTAACACTGTCCTGAGAATTTCAATATTTCCCCTTTCCATTTTTCACTATGACTGATGGAAACAAAATATTCCCAACAATATCTGTGTTCCAACACTGGTTATTTCTGCTCTTTTTCATAGCTCTTTCTGTACTTCAGCAGCATCCTCAAATGTGTTGGTCAGTGATAGGCTGGAGACATGTAGAGTACTCTCACTGATTTCTAAAGCTCTCTCTCTCTGTCGCTCTTTCTGTGTGTGTGTGTGTGTGTGTGTGTGTGTGTCTGTCTGTCTGTCTGTCTGTCTATCTGTCTCCGTAGAATTCTCTCTTCTAACTTTCTTCTGACCTTCCCTTGTTTTCAACTGTCTTCATCTTATGGAAACCACGTGATGTTCTCTGGAATCCCCCAAACCTCTCCGCCTCCTGGACTCTCTCAGCAAAGTGAGCTAAGGGGAACATCGGGCTCCTTTCCTTTCTTTTCCTTTTGTCATGCGTCTCCTGAGACACAGGCCTTCCAATAGCTGCATATCACGTCATATAATTTTTTGAAGGATGAAAAGCTTATCAAGATTGATCTTAACTGGAAGCTTAAAGCGATAGTGTGTGGTTTTTTTCTGTTTGAAATTACTAAAGAGAGGAACAAATAGGGGTCTGCTGCCAAACACTAAAGGGCAATTGTCATCTCATGGGAAAGAGGTGTTCCATGCTTTGAGTTGCAGGGAAAACTATTCGTTGTTCATGAAACTCAACTTTTAATTAAAAAAACAATAGCTGATAGATGATGGGTATTCAGACTTGGATGTCTGGCAGACGTTCATTTGAGAATGAATAGACTGTGTCTATGCCTTCAAGGAAAATGACAACTTTTGTTGCCAATGATAAAATTGGATCTTTTCAGGGAAAATTGGATTTGGTAAACCTGTATGTTCTACTATAAACTCGATAGTTTCCCATTAAATAGTATTTTTTCCCTGATGAAATAAATGGTGTTAATAAATGTGTCTATTATATGTAATAAAGCATCCAACATCTGGAATATCTGAATAATTCAGTGATTTGACATTTTTCAAATTCTCAATTCTTTTTTTTTTGGGGGGGGGGTCCGGTCATGGGGCCTGAACTCTGGGCCTGGGCGCTGTCCCTCAGCCTTCAGCTTAAGGCTAGCGCTCTACCACTTGAGCCATAGCGCCACTTCCGGCTTTTTTCTTTTTTTGCTTATGTGGTGCTGAGGAATCAAACCCAGGACCTCAGGCATGCGAGGCAAGTGCTCTACCACTGAGCCACTTTCCCAGCCCCAAATTCTCAATTCTTTATGATACAAAAACACAAAGAAAAAAGATCCACTCAAAGTATATGTGAGAATACTTTTCATGCAATACTATGATTTTAATGTGATAGAGTAAAAGCATTTACTCACATGGTTTTAGACTCTAAATTCAACTGACACTTAGGACACTAATATATTATGTGTTTCAATTTGATAACAAAGATGATCAACAATGATGTGAAAGGGCTGTCCCCTTTTCCTACTAGATGTCTGTGTGAGGCCAACTTTTATTTATATACTTAAATAAAAATAACATTATAATAGACCAAATGTATGAGTATCTAGCTGTCTTCTAAGAGGTTAGACATTAAAGAACTTTAAAAAAGAATAGGCAACAGTGCCAATGTTTTTATGGAAATCTTTTTATTAAAAAAAATTTTAGGGGCTGGGAAGGTGGCGCAGTGGTAGAGCGCTTGCCTTGCATGCATGAGGCCCTGGGTTCAATTCCTCAGCACCACATAAGCAAAAAGAAAAAGGCCGGAAGTGGCGTTGTGGCTCAAGTGATAGAGCGCTAGCCTTGAGCTAAAGAGCTGAGGGACAGCACCCGGGCCCAGAGTTCAGGTCCCACGACGGGAGACAAACAAACAAACAAAAATTTAGTGTTTTCAGGGCTGAAGATGGTAGCTCAATTATGTAATCCGAGCTAGTAGAGAGGAAAACATGGGGAGGATTGAAGTTTGAGGCCAACCAGAAGAAAAACTTACCTAGGCTTCAATCAGTAACTGAGTGTAATAGGTGGTTCATACTTGTAATTCCAGCAACATAGAAGGTACAGATAGGAAGATTGAGATCTGAGGCCAGTCAAGGCAAAAATTTGAGACTAAAAACCAACTAAAGCAAAACAGAACTGGGGACATAGCTCACATGTTAGAGCACCTGCCTAGAAAGAATGAGAGCCTCAGTTCAAATCCCAATATCACAAAAAGCAAAAGAAAAGGAAAGAAGTCATGTTTTCATAAAAAATGTGAAATGCATTTATTGATTTTTCTTCATATCTTTAGTTGTACAAAGGGGATTCAATTCAACAAATCAGTTTGTAAGTTCAATGTATTTTTTCAATGTCATCTCTCCTATCCTTCCCCATCTTTCCAAACCCCATCTATTTACTGATTTTTAAATAAATCGATAATTAAATATTTA